GTGGCTTCAGCCCCATCTCAGAGAAGCTTTCTTCTTCTTTGTCATCTTTGACAGTTTCCAAGATGAGGAGGATGCAGAAGGCTGGGCTGAAGCCAAAGAGCTTCACGTCAAAATGAAAGGCATCAAAGAATCTATGGACACCAGGAGGACCCTCGTGTGATGTAGAACTTCTCGGAAACTGCTTCCAACTCTACAGGCATGTGACCATAAACAGCTAGAGGGTAACCTGGATATCAGGTCAATTCCTGGTCAGACATCAAACTGACCAAGATGTTGATGGTGACTATTCTGAAGTTTTTATGCAAAATCACATGTCCTATGTCCATATAGCCCTGGCCTTGAAAGATGAACCAGAACTTCCTCCCAGCATCACAGAAGAGACTTTTCAGTTTGATACTAAGCCATGATCATGAGTATCTTCTTTTCTGTGTGGGCAGGGATCATAAGTGGCAGCAAGCCTTGCTGGTTCAGCCTGGTGGAAGGCTGACACTCAGCATATTTCCTAAAAGTTGTATGTGGTAGGTGCTTCTGTGTGGAGCTATGGCCTTGGATATCCTGGTTTCTTCTGAAACCGTGTTTCAGCTCAAGTTTCTCGGACTGCAGGATCTGATCAGGACAGTGATTTGGAGTTGCTTTGTGCCTGTACCACATCTTCATCTCCTCTCTACCAAGCCAAGCAGCATCCCCACATCACCTTCTTCCTAGGTTTGGAAGGCCCTCTTTGGCAGTGGACAGTATTGAGCCACAATCTTATTATTCTTGCTAAAAGAGTCATTGCATTTGATTGGAAAGTGCCTGAGGACTGGCCTGTAGATCCAGTAGGAAGCTAGATGTCAGGGTTTCTGGTAATAAAAGTCCAGGGGATATCTTTCCTCTTTTCAGTCAGGAGCCATACAGATGCACAGACTTGTTAAACTCTGTGAAGGTGCCTTAGAATATAGGCCATCACCCTTGTTTGGCTACTTGAGTCAAGAAATTATCATTAGAAAAAATATAAATATGTTCCCTTACAAAGATTAGATAAACCATTGAAAGATGGCAGCTCAAATAGCCAATGAGTGTCAAGACCAATGTACAACCAACCACTCAAGATCTTCCACAAGGTGTATGATTGGTGTGCACTCTCTCTATACTCCCTGAAATTGGGAGAATGTGATAGGAAGACAGCAAGTTCAAAGCCAGTCTGAACTACATAGTGAGACCATGTCTCAAAAAGAAAATAAAAACTCTGCACCGAAAAATTCTTCATTGAAATCAGTCATGTAATTAAAAATATTTCTTTGCCTAGTATTTACAGAGAAAGTAATTTTTCTTACCTGAGTATAATGTCCAACTAATGCACTAGGTGGATTTGGGCCTGAACCAAACCTGAAATCTTTGGCTTCATCGTACCAGCTTTGGATTGCACGAGACCATGATGCTGGGTAACTTGCCAGGAAGATATTCTCACCACATATTATGTCTAAGGAAAAAGACAGAACACTCAAAAAGACAGCAATAAAGAAAAAAGGAGGACACACACACATGCATGCACACAGAATTCCTGCTTTTTAAAGACATTGCTCACAGTTTCTTTTGAATATTGCTTAAGAAACATGACTCAGATGTGATGAACCTTTAGCTAAAAAGGCGCCATAGGTATTCAACATGTGTGTGCTAAACACCATGACCACTAAGTAGATTGAGAAGTCTTTTCTTCAGTAGCATCTCTCCTCAAACTAATTCATCCACCCATGAAATCCTGCATACCTGTCTGCACATGTGTATGTGTGTGTGTACGCCTTCTTTACAGTTATTCTTTAAAAAGTACAATTACAAAGCAAACAAAACAGAATGGATTATATTTTCAAAGTTAATAGGTCATGTGTGGTGATATTTCAGTTGTGCTCTAATAAATAAAGCTTATCTGTGGATCAGGGGGAAAACTAGCCACTATGTTAAACATAGAGGCCAGGCAGTGGTAGCCAGTGCCTTTAATCCTAGCATTCAGGAGGCAGAGAGTCATCCCGATCTCTGTGAGTTCAAGGCCACACTGGAAACCCATTGTGGTGGCACATGCCTTTAATCCCATTGTGGTGGCACATGTCTTTAAACCCAACACTAGCTAACCATAGAAATCTGGAGGTTTATACAGACAGACAGGAAGTGATAGTACTGGGTCGGAAGAGGAAGTGATATAGTTGGGTAGAGAGAAGAAGTGGGATGGCAGGGCTCAGAAAGGTATATAGTCATGAGTATACAGGAAATAGTCCTCTCTTTGGCTGAGGATTTCCTAGAGGTAAGACATGGCTGGCTTGCTCTCTGCTCTTTTAGCTTTCACCCCAATACCTGGCTCCGTTTTTTTTTTGTTTTTTTTTTTTGTTTTTTTTTATTAATAAGACCATTTAGCAATGTGTGTTACAGTCATGTCTTAACTAGAAAATAAAAACTTCATGGGCCAGATTTTCTTCAGAGAATGGGAAAAAAGCATCTTTTAACCCCCCAAAATAACAGTATTTTTTTAATCAAGCTCTGTAATTAAAAAATTACTTTACACTTTAACTGAATATTGCAGCCTTTTAAATTAAATTTTATTCATTATGTTGTTTAATTAGAAATATCTAAGAAGTAAAACTTTTAAAAGAGTTTATTAATTTATTAGGTTCAAATTGGGCCAAAGGTGATCATTTTTAATATTTCAAGAAATATTTTCTCACATGGCCCATTTATTAATTTTGTTATTATTTTTACACTTTCTTATGTAAATATTGTTTCATAGTTTATTTTTAATTTAACATAATATGTCCTTTCAGGCACTAGTAAGGTGAAAACACAAAAATGAAGGAAGAGCAGGGTGCACACACATTGGTGGCTTTCACACAAATTCCAGTACTTAGGAAGCTGAGGTTGGAGATCAGAAATTTGATGATATCCTGGGATATACAGTGAGACCTGTCTCCTCCCCATCAAAAATAATGAAGGAAATAGTATATGTGAATGCCAAGATTTTGATATTTCTTGAGAAAAATGAAGAATTAGTTGATCAAATTAAACATATCTTTTATAATTAAAAAGATAGCTTAGAAGCACAACAAGCCATATCATTAAGATATGTGGTTAAAGATAGAAATTCTAATTTCAGAGTGCTGGAGAAATGTCTGAGCATGTAGGAATATACCTTGCTATTTCAGCAGACTTGAATCCAACTCCTAATGTCCATACAGTGTAGCTTACCACCGCCTGTGACAACAGCACTGTGACAACCACCTGTAACCTGTAAGCTCCAGATGGTCTGGTGCCTTCTTCTGCCCTCTAGAAGCATTTTTCATACATGCACACATGCATAAATATGCAGAGATACACAAACACATAAATTAAACCATGATAGGATAAAATAAAAAGGAGATTCGAATTTCAAATTTCCTTTATAAGGCCTTAATTTGTAATTATTTTCATCAAGACATCGGTTTCTAATCTTCGAAGCAGAGAAGGCACAAAGCTGGCATCAGGAAAGACAGTTTGTGAAAAATATAAAACATCCAATAAGCACAAAGTGGAGCCTTTCAGAGCCATCTCTGCCCCAGAGATATTTAACTTTTAAAAAAGGAAGTATCAGAATACGTGTTTATTTACAACGTTTTGTTAGCACAATATGTGACTCTCCATTCATTTGTAAGTAAATTTGAGTTTACATACTAGTGGTCCTGGCTTCTGGAGGACTGTGTACATAACTGCATTGGTTTGCCCATCTCTGTGCATTCACTCGGGCATTATTGCTCCATTGCTAAAAGGAAAAGGAAAAAAAGATAGCCGTAGAATAACTCAAACCTCAGAGTCACATGATCTTTGCAAAATTTCTGTAGGTACTTTCTGATTTTCATCATAATCAATATATAATATGGTATATGTCTAAATTTTTATGTTAGCATGTATATTTTCAGCATTCATGGTGGTATTTATAAATAAGTTTATTTTTGCATATTTTCCACCCCCATCTTCCTGATCCTGCCTATCCTCCCTTGCATGCCCTCTCACCCACAGCCTCCACTTGATGTCACACATGTTCGTTCTCTTTCCTTCCACTTCCCATGCCTTCTGTCATCTCTTTACCCTCCACATGGTCTTCTTACTAGTTTCATAACCTATGTCCAAAGTTACTCCAACTTGTATATGGCCTCTCCTGTACCAAATAAATACAAGTAGTCTGTCTTCCCAAGGCCACCAAAAATGCTAAACCTTTAATGATCTAATGACTTAGTGAAATCACAACAGGAACCCTTAAAGGCTGAGTAATTGCTGTAGAGCTAGTAGCAGTAACCATGTCAAAGTACTAAGACTATTTTTTATAGCTGTAAGTATTTGCCTCATATCCTAGTTTCATTTTTTCCCTCATTAAATGAACTTAAGAGACACAAGGATGTTGGTTCTGGATCCAGAGAGTAGACTATTTAGTTGAAAGTTCACTAGACCTTAAAGGAGAAATGTTCTGATCCTAGATTAGGAGAGAGAAGAGTCAGCCAAAATAACATAGTGACATTTCACTGGAGACCAAACTCAAAAGATTTGATTTTAGTTCAGTCACTATAATTGATATAGCTCCATAATACCAATGAGTCACTGTTATAAAAGAAATTTAATAAAGTCTACTCTGATCATTGCACAGCTAAAGACATAGAGGTAGAGAACAAACTCTGATATAATGGGCACACACCCATGCACATGCACATAAACAAACAATGAATACTTTTTTAAAAAGAGAAGCTAGAATAGAGTCAGACCCTCTTAAAGCACAAAGCAGAAGCCAGATGCTATCCTCAGGCTCCAAACACAGTTCTCCAAATGCACTGTCCTGTTGTGAGCCCTCACCATCTTTAACAGGTCACTACTAGGTGGAGAAACCAGTCTTCTCAGTTGGTTGTGCTTGTTTACAATCTCTTCTTGGACTGACACTCTAGTTGTTGTCAAATCCTCAAAATTCATATTCTGAATGG